GGTGGGGGTTAATTTTCCAAATACCCCCGTAAGTTGAGATATACGTGATATGGGCACAGTGGAATGTCCTTTTGGGCTGACATGTTTCTGTTATGCCCCTGTCAGGTGGGTGCGCACATTCGCTTGACCTTTTGCAATTGCACCTACAAAAACTTCGCAACTGCCGGGGCATTTTGCAAAGTTGGGCAGCGCCCAGTACGGGTACATTGCTGTTATGAACTTGGTTGCCTGACGATTTTCACCGCCACTCACACACAGACAGTCTCATACACACCCATACATGCATAAGAGAAGGGGGAGAGGAGACAGAGTCTACTCTGATCTGTGTGCAGTGTGGACTCTGTCTAGTCCACACTGCACACAGATCAGAGTAGGCAGCCAAGTTCATAACATTGCAAAGATGGGGTCCAACTGATGGCTGGGGTGTTTCGCAAAATGCTTTTGTCATCGTCCTTCGCCGCAGCGTGGCTGGGGCGGGTCCACTTGTTATTATTTATTGTTGAATAAGATTGGGGGAGATGAGGAGGAGGAGATTGGTTGCCGAGAGAAGGGGGATGTGTCATTGGTCTACTGCTGGTGTACATCTTCTTCTTCCTCTTTCTTTCTTCTTTCTTCTTCTTCCTTTGTCTCTTTTTTCTCTCAAGTTCTTTCATTTCTTTTACAATTGGACGGTATTGTCCTTGTGTATTCACACTTCGGAATTGGCCAGGATCTTAACAGTGTGCAGGATACTAGCATGTTACATCTGGCTAAATTCCAACCAGATGTTGAATCCAGAGGTTGAAAGGAAGATCAGAGGTGAGAATGGACGGGAAAAGTAGTAAACAGACGTTTCTGCCTATCTTGTTTCTCTCTGAGCTTGTCAATTAGGCATCATCACTTTTTTCTTTTTTCTCCCCTTCAGTGGCATTTCAACCCATCCCTTCTGAACCACTCTGTTTTTTAGCCTCAAATGTGAGTGAACCTGTTTGCATGCAGAAATTGGTTGACCAAAGCATAGTTCCTTTCTGAGTGTCTCTTCTTAACATGGAAGCGTTGTTGTGTTGTTGTCGTCGTGGTTGTTGTTGTTGTTGTTGTTGTTGTTGTTGTTGTTGTTGTTGTTGTTGTTGGTTTGTGGTGGTCGTCGTCGTGGGTGTCGTGTTTGTTGTGGTCACCATGGTTTTTGTTGTTGTTGCTGTGTGCCGTTGTTGTTGCAGGTGCATGGAGACGACACCCAGCCTTGCCTGTGCTAACAAGTGTGTCTTCTGCTGGCGTCACCATACGAATCCGGTTGGTAAATCTTGGAAATGGAAGATGGACGGTCCCCTAATGATTGTTGAGGGTGCTCTGGAGAATCATAAGAAGATGATCAAGCAGATGAAAGGTGTACCAGGTGAGGAGGGGAGATGTGGGGTTTGAGGGGAAGGGTTGGGTTGTGCAAGGAAAGGAACTCGTCATATGATGGGGCAACAGGATAATTAGCATTTCCAGCATGATAAAGCAATCACCTTTTTTCACCTGTAAACTGATCTTTGAGCTGGCTTCAGCTTTGATATTAGGCTATATTTGCCAGGAAACATGAGGAAAAAGAGTTCTTTTTCTTTTCTTCTTTTTCTTTCAACTTCCTGTCTTTTCCTGTCTTCTTTTGCTCTGTCAGGATTTGAACTCCTGCTTTGTTGATCAAAACTTACATGTGCAAGGATATGCATCCTCAGCATGCCCGTGAGGGGCCCTTACAGCCAGCATGAGCCCGCCCTAAGTGAAGGCGGGCCCCTGAATTCAATAAGGCATGAGATCATCAATTTTGCAAAGCTTTGGTTGGCGCCAGACAGTTGCGATGTGCCAGTTGGTTACATCCACCCTGCTCGTGATGTTCAGAAACATTCGTGAGCCTTCTAGGCTCTTCTGTGGAAGCGGGGAACACCTCACATTTACGCTGGGTGATTGGGCGCGCCTAACGAATTCGGTCCCAGGCCACTGTCTGAACGGGCCTGGGCGCAGCCAACCTGAAGCTACTGGGCGCACGCAGGCCCAGGCCAAGCAGCGAGTGGGCCAGTCCACTTCGATATAGGGAAGTGTCTGGGGGCATGCATCAGGCATTTGGCACTTGGTGGAAGAGGCGGCAGCACTACTTGAGTGCTCGCTCGCGCCTGCCTGTCTAGCACTGCACACGGGCGCAAGAAGAAGGAGAGGGCGCTGTTAGGGAGAAGTGCCATAGCCTGGGCCTTCATAGCCGGGCTGGCCTGACATAGCTGGCGGAGTTAGGCAGTGGTTTTCAGAAGGTGAAGGCATGTGGGTGGTGAAGACGAGGGTGAGCAGAGTGAGGGGTGGGGGAAGATGATGTGAGGGCACCTACCAGGTCTTCGCGGAGGTCTACATGGTCGACATCTGCATGTACTTTGGTTGCTGCTGCTGACGTGAACTGGTTGCGTTGTCATTTCGTAGGCTGATAGGGTAGCTGTAGGATTGTAGTCTGGGCGCTGAGCGTCAAAGGATGAAGAGCTTTGATTGCAGTATTAGTGGTGGCAAGAGTATGCTTTCATTGACGTTGGGTTCGATGCTTTGGTTCTCCTTCGGTGTAACATCATTGCATTTCTGCTTTCTGGACAGTTTTCGACTATCTGGCATTCGGTGTGATTTGCAATCTGGAATTCTGTCATTTTGCTGTTGCTCATTTTCCTTGTAATTGGATATCAGAGCCGGTTTGTTCCGATCCGTTGGCTGCAGCGCAATAGCTGTTCGGTGCTTCGACGTGGTATTGCGGGGAAGTGATAAGGCTTGCGCGCTGGTTTGAGTGGCGCCCCAGTGTCGTGTGGGCACACCGTGAAGGCTATGTGGTGACATAGGGGTGCACGCTCGATGATGAGAGCTTGCTGACGTGGCATTTAAGCCAAGGTGAAACTGCATTGGAATGTGGGTTGTGTCGAGGCACGAACCGGTCATCATAAATGCACGTCAGGTTACTGGTGAGATATCTGTGGTTGGGGGCAGCATTATGAGGTGCGTTGCTCCGTACCTTATCTACCCACTTCGTTACTTCTTATCGTGAGGAAGTAAAACTTGTCTTGAGAGTCCTCTCATTGTGAAGTGTTGCAAGAGGTTGTCGATGCAGGGTAGGGGATCTCCGTTACAGCCTCCCATTTCTTGGAGACAAGACTAGATACATATCGTGTAGTCATTGCACATCCTCAAGGTACCCCCCTTATGAGGAACAAATAGAACGGTGCACGGTAAGGGGCGGTACTAGGTGGGATGCAGCCCTTCTCTGTGAGCTCCTTGAGTTGTCGGCGAAGCTCATCTAACTCCACAGTACACATCCTATATATACGTCCTCTAGGTACCTTGGAATGACTTCAATTGCGTGGACAATCTCCCTCTCGACTACGCCCCTACGCTCCTAAAAAAGGATTGGATATTGAGCGACGACTGCTTCTATCTCTGGGGGTGTTTTTACAACCTCCCCTTTCTCGGAGACAAAGACTAGATGCATACCCTCCTCGCGATTCTGCTTGTAATAGTTATAGAAAGGCGAGGCGCACATGCACCCATACGTCTCAATGAATCTTCTAGCCTTATACTTTTGCAGTCTAACAGTCCTCCCGTTTTGCAATGTGTGTATCATCACCTTCCTATCCCAGTTAAACTGAGGCTAGCAACCTCGAGGTAGTACATACCTAGTAGCATATCGAAGGGCAGCTCATCGCTAACCAGGAACAAATTTTATCTCAGTTCCTCTCCTCGTCGTTGGCATAGTCTTTCACTTCCATGGAGTGCTTGTTGGCTAAGGTAGATGCTACAAACCTGCTAAGCCGCTGCACTTGGTCCCCTATGCGTAGCCTATGCACACAAGCACGACTGATGGAATTTCGCGTACAACCTATGTCTGCAAAGGCTCCAACCTTTCGGCCACCTATATCGACGTCTACCACAAAATGTTCACCCTTTGGACCTTTAGTCAACATCGCCAGTGGTCCCTAGGGTCCTTCTCTAACCACTCAGTCTCTAACTCCTCTAAGGACTCAGACACATCCATCAAACAGAGTATCGATTGGTCCGGATCTCCCTATGGGGCGACCAGCTCTTGCGATCGGCTAGACGCCCGATTGTCCATTTGGCATTAGGACCAGAGGGTGACATATATTTGTTCCGCCAGCGTAGGGAGAGGCAGCAGCAGCAGAGGTGAGCTAGGCCAGCAGAGGCCAGCAGGGAGTTCATAAGCGAAACCGCAGCTTCAGCAGCCATGGCCACTTCTGCGCAACAGAGTTCCCAGGCTAGCAGTTTAGGATTTGTAGGGTCAACGGTCGCACAGACCCAGAGTCAGTCTACTGGCGTTATGGCAAGCCAGCCATTGGTGTTGTCACCCGAGGAGATCGCCATATAGCAAGCTGCCCTGCAAGAGGCACAACTACAGAAGGCTTTAGGAGAGATTAAAGCGGAGAAAGAGAAAATGATTAGAAGAAGAGTCGGGATGCAGCGAAGAAAAGCGGACGTTAGTGAGTTAGAGGAGATTGACCCAACAGAGATGGAGGATGATGTGAGGAGTCAGTCTTGTTAAGCGTAGTAGAGATGCAAGATCACCAAATGGAGATCTTACAGGACATCCAACAGAGTCTGGTTGTGTTAGTCGGGCGAATGCAGGCGTCACCATCACCGTCCGGGCCAGCTGCCTGGCCCGTTGTACAACCTCCTCCTTTTGTCCCACCGGTGACTGGGGTGTCCCCATATACCGCTCCAGCATCGGTCCAGACCGTTTCCTTGGGCATGCCGCTAACAGGAGGGTTCTCAACAGGTCCTAGTTTGCAGGTTCCTGTACAACCAGTGTATTCCCAGCCTCCATTGCAGATTGTAGTTACAACGCAACCTGCTGTCTCACAGCCTGTACAACCGCAGGGTACACAGCCCCAGTAGCTAGCGTAGAAGCCTGTATCACAGGGTCCACAGCCCAGTGGAATGCAGTGACCGAGAACCTTTACCGGGGATAAGAGGGGCGAAGACCTCGACACTTGGTTGAGGGCAGTGCCGTTCTATGTCAAATGCAAACTTACCTTGCCGCACGAGGAAGTGTTTGTGGCTGCATCCTACCTAGAGGGTAGTGCAGCACGATGGTTGAGTGGTTTAGTGCAACTACAGGGGTACGGTCATGATTCCGCGCTTTGGCAGCCCACCAGAAACTGGAGGACTTCCTCAAGATGGCGAAACCCTTTATCGGGGATAAGAGGGGCGAAGACCTAGACACTTGGTTGAGGGCAGTGCCGGTCTATGGAAAATGCAAACTTACCTTGCCGCACGAGGAAGTGCTTGTGGCTGCATCCTACCTAGAGGGTAGTGCAGCACGATGGTTGAGTGGTTTAGTGCAACTACAGGGGTACGGTCATGATTCCGCGCTTTGGCATCCCACCAGAAACTGGAGGACTTCCTCAAGATGGTGGAAGACAGGTGGCATGATCCTCATGAGGCTCAAAAAGCCACTGATGCGATCCCGAAACTGCACACGAGGCAATTGAAGTCAGTAAGGGAAGCCACTGACGCTTTAGAGCGTCTGATCTGTGTCCCCGGGGTGCGCTATGACCCCTAGGTCTTACTCACCTCCTACCTGAGATGCTTTCTTATGCCTCTCAGGAATCAGTTGGCAGGTGAGGCCAACATCAATGTGCACAACTTCCCCTCATTCAGCAAGAAGGCCCTAGACCTTGAGGCAAAGATAGGGCATGGACATAATCCCACAACGGATGGTAGGAAGAAAACACTGCCTCCCAACTGGAAGGCGAAGGGTCGCATTATGTTTGTCGATAACGATGGTTCAACCATTGAGTTAGATGACAACTTCCAGGAGGGAGTGGGTTCAGAGGCTAGCAGCGTAGAAGCTTCAGGGGGTGGAGTAGTCGCTGTCATAGCTCGAAAAGGTAAGGCGACCGGTAGACGCCGTGGAGGCTCCCGGTCAAGGAGTCAAGTGACCCCAATGCTCCTCCATGGGAGAAAGCGGGTCTTACAAAGGACGTGTGGAGAGATAGGTACACCCGGCAGACCTGTATTCGTTGTGGACAGTATGGCCACAACCAATTCAAGTGCCGCAATAAGAAGGTGACAGAGAAGATCCCGTCTACGATGGGGCAGGCGTTGGGATCCTCCACTCCCGTCGGTAGCAATGTTGCCAGTACTTCAAGCACTGCTCCGGGAAACACGTCGGGCCAGTAGGAATAGTAGTTGTTCCTGCTAGGGTCGAGGTGGTGGATACACCCTCACCATCTCGAGAGATGGCCCTAGCTACTGACTCCGTTGTCGTCCCGCAAACACGTTTAGACCAATCGAGCCTCTGTTCGATGAATGTGTTCAAGTCCTTAGAGGAGCTAGAGAAGAAGTGGTCTAGATCAGACCCGCTAGCTTATTGGACGA